GCTATAGCCCCCACCCTCCACCCCACCCGTCCCCCAGGCTGCCCGCCATACTTGAGCTGCCGGGGCTCGCAGTCCAGGCCAGGCAGCAGCAGCCGGGCCGCCTGCCGGATGTCCCCGCTGTCCACGGTGAGGCTGCGGCGGTGCTCTGCGTAGGTGACGGCCACACGCATCCACTCCATCAGCGGTGGCAGCAGCATGAAGGGCCTGTGGCATGGGGTGGGGTCAGACCTGGGCTCCCCACGGGGACAGGGGTCTCAGAAAACAGCACAGAGGTCAGGCGGTGAGGCAGGCAGGGCCTGTCCTGCTGCTCAGAGACCCCGTCTGTCCCCGTTGCTGTCCACAGATCCCGTCCTCAGCCATTAGCTGTGCCCAGGGCCACAGCCGGGACCCAGTGCCAAGTGGGGCTCTGGGCGTCTGAGCGGGCACGCCCCACGGCCCTTGCTCCGGAGAGCTGGGGGAGCTGCGTGGCCTAGGCAGGTGGCATCTCAGCTAGGTCTCCTGTTCCCGCATCTCAGAACCGGGCCCGTGAGAGAACATAGCACTGACGCCCAGGGCACACCGGGACAGGCTCGTGCAGCCGCAGGCACTGGCCAGGTCGGCAATGTGAACGGTTCTAAGCTGCATTTCCCAGGTTCCATTGCAGCTGGAGTTCTGGACACGAAATTGATTTAACCACTAGGTAGTAGCTTCCCACGATCCAGCAGAAATGTGGCAATGGCCACCTCTGTGTCACCTTTGTCCACTTCTGCCAGCCTGGCAGGTCGTGACACCAGCAACAGATATGTCCTCTCCTCTCCTCGGGGGTCTGGGGCAGTGGCAGTGGTGGGGCGATGGCACGGACTTCAGCCCTGTGTCCCAGCTTGAACGTGCAGCCCCAGGGGCTGTCTCGGAGCAGCTGCCCGACCGCGAGCCCCCGAGGCCCGGCCTCCAGCCTGCTCTTCCAAGCCTCCCGGTGGTTCGGCGCCAAGCTTCCCTGTCAAATCCCTCCCTGCTCAAAGCACGCAGAGTGGTTTCTGCTTCTGGAATCGAACATGAACACCCTCAGCACAGAGAACAAGGTGATCCTCTGCGCCCAGGAGAGGCTGGTGCCCCGTGGTCTGCAGGCACAGACACGCCAGGCCTCTCGGAACAGGCCCCTCTGCCTTCCTCCCTGGCCCACGGCCACTCGTGGGCTTCCAAGGTGAGCTTCCCGGCGGGCTGTGGGCTCCAGGATGCTGCATCCTGTCCAGTGAGCTCTCTCCCCACTGGGCATGCTGAGGTGGGCACCCTGGAAAGCCCACGGGACTCCCAGTGGCCCTAGCCATGGCCCAGCCCAGGGAGAAAGCTCGGAGAAGCAAGGCAGAGACCATGTGGCGGCCTCGCAGCCTCTGCTTTGTCCCCTCCTAAAGGAGGCCATGCTTGCGTCCTGCCATCCCCGGGGCTGAGCTGAGCTGCGAGTTTCCCAGGCCGACGCACAGACGCCACGGGCCAGAACCAGGGAGGCCGGTCCACCCTTGGCCACTGTCCCGCCCATGAGCGGCTGTCCTCACACCTGTTGCATTCAGAAGCTATCGGGGATGCCGTGGGGCTCTTGTTGGGTCTGGCCCTCCATCGGTATTGACGGCACTGACTGGAAGCCGGAACTGAGGGCGTGACAGCGAGTGGGCACACAGGCTGCGCCCTGCCCGCACTCCGGGATGACCCCACCTCACCACGGCTGGGACAGCTCCGGCCCGGGAAAACACGGCTGACAGGCACATGGGCTCTGACCGCAGGGTGGTTCCGATCCCTGGGAGGAGTCTCTGGGGCCAGAGAAGATGCTGCCTGGGCCAGGGGCTGAGAGCTGGCATGGGGCCGGGTGTCCGCTGCGGAAGCCTGGGGTGGCCCCCTTCACCTGCGCACTCCTGCCAGGATGGAGCGCCCAGCCCCACCCCTGCAGCACCCTGGTGGGGGGAAGTTCTGGTTTCTTTCTTCTTTCTTATTATATTTATTTTTTTAATTTGACAAGAGATGAAGAGAAAGAGACAGAGATAGGGGGAGAGATGGCCGCCAGGTCCGAGACTGGAACTGTGGTCAGCCATGTGGGAGTCCAGCACCTCAGCTACCCGCTACCTGCGGCCCCAGGAAGTTCTAGTCTCTCCTGTTCGGCCGAGTGGGCTCTGTGACCTCAGGCGGCTGCTGCCTCCTCGGGCCTGTTTCCGGTCTCGGTCAGTGGCTTCTGACCTCCCAGCAAGAACTCCCTGCTTTCAGTCCCGGGACCCCACGAGGCGGGTGCTCCTGCGTCAGCAAGGTGGCTCTGGCGGGAGACGGCCGGCGGCTGCAGCCCACCTGGCATGGACAGGGCTCCCCACGGCGGCACTCGGGCCTGCCCGGAGAGACGGCTGCAGCTCAGGAGCAGTGCCCGGTGCTGGGATGCTGTGGCTCCCCGGACAGGACCCACGTGTAGCAGACGAGGCCGTGGCCCCGGCCCGCTGAGTCTGGCTCCGGCCTGCCCGAGTCTGGCTCTCTGTGGTAGCCGCGGGCACAGACACGCAGATGGCAATGGCCTGCCAGCAGGCCCGGCCCTGGCAGCAGGAACGCACGGGAGGGGCACCGCGGTGCGCAGAGGCGCAGCCACCCTGGTGGAGGGACCGCCGAGCGCCGCCCCTGCCTACCCGGGTGCCACCGCACCTGCAGGCACAGAAGCCAGGCTCGTAAGAGCGCCACCGCCTCTCTGGCAGCCCGCCACATGTCACCAGACTGCAGTGCCGCGTGGGGAGAGCGATGCCGATGGGAACCGGGCTCTCCACATGCAGGCTGGCACCCTGGTCAACTCCTCTCCTTCCCTCCTGGCGAGAGGGGAAACCCAGACCCAGGGAAGCCCATGCCTCGCTCCAGGTCACGAGGCGGCTGGCAGCAATGGGGACTGCGGCCCAGGACCTCATTCAGCCTCCCCGCGCTGCCCAGGGCTTGGTCTGTGGGAGCCATTTCCCCCCCAAAAGTAAAAGAACCAGTCCAGCAGGTGGCGTGGGAGTTCAGGCAGCTGGATCCCACACGGCCACTGAGCCACGGAGGCCTGGACCCAGGTCTGAAACCCACGCCACGCCTCTCCCAAGAAGAGAATGAAGGGACTGTGCTTGGCCACCCCCACGGGGTAGCTTCTCACTCCCCCTCTGTCTCCCCTCTGGTGAGCACACACACCCTACAGCAAAGTTGGGGGGGAGAGAGAGGGAGGGAGAGGGAGAGGAGGAGAGAGGGAGAGGGAGAGGAGGAGAGACAGAGAGAGAGGGAGAGAGAGGGAGGGAGAGGAGGAGAGGGAGAGGAGGAGAGAGGGAGAGGGAGAGGAGGAGAGACAGAGAGAGAGGGAGAGAGAGGGAGGGAGAGGAGGAGAGGGAGAGGAGGAGAGAGGGAGAGGGAGAGGAGGAGAGAGAGGGAGGGGGGGGGGGGGGGGGGGGGAGGG